ATTAGTTGGTAAATCAAATGAAACATCATTGAATGTGCCAAAGGAGACACTGTTTGACCATACAGATTTCCAGCATCACACAGCTTTGGAAATAATTGTGACCACTGCTTTTGTGGCTCCTGGTGGAACCACGCTGTGTTTTCTTCTTACGGTTAAAATGGCCAGCTGTTTTGCGGGTTTGCTGATTCCACTTCCGCTAGAAATGGCTTTTTCACTGTATATCTCTTTGTTAAGCACAAAGACGGCTGTCTTCTCATCATCTTGCAGTTCTCTTATTTTAGGCGTTGTTGAGTGATCATTTAGTTTGAATTGTCTGTTGACTTTACATATACAGCTTATGCACAAAATAATAACGACTCAAAAATGTTTTTGGCCATCTGGTTTGAATTATGAAACGTTTACAGTTTCAATCACTGTATTTTAAACCTAGTTTGTTGCCTACATTGTATAATATAAGACTTTTTTCATGTTTTAGAAGATGCTGTAATTAGTAAACCACTATGATTGAATGAAAACTAAATAATCAATGTTGAAGGCCTGCTGTGTAGATTTTTCCATTAATTCATTCAACACGTTTTTAAACTTGGGAGTACATTACAGGTCGGAGGCCTCATTTACAATATAGTCGAGTAAGAAAATCAAATATGTAGGTAAACAAATCAGACAGGATGGCAATAACACTATTAAAAGCCAAAACTAGCAATATAATAAAAGCATGAAATTTTTACTGACTCACATCAACCAAGAACAGATGGAAGCGAAATTAGATGAAATTGAAAGACTCCATTACTCCAAGGATAAAAGGATATAAGCCAAGCTTTAGATTGTTCTGAGGGTTATTCCAGGTTACAGGTGCGCAGTGAGCAAAACCGGATTTTCCAAGCTCAGTGAAAACAGCCGGCACCTTCAGCATAATCCAATCATTTGAGCATGTTTGCTAAGGGCCCATATTAAAAGACAGCAATGGAGTCATTTAAGGGGGAAAAACACAGTAAGGGCCTTATAAATAAGTAAAACGCAGTGTCCATCAAGCCTTATAGAGAGGGAGAGGGCTACCTTAGCATAGAGTTCACAGGGATGAGTACTTAACTACTACTAGTAATACATATAAATGCAAAATAATAAATAGAGTCTAACTTAAGAATCACCGTTGATACGTGCTGGTTTAAAATGTCACAACAATCCAACACTGATAGAGAAGTTGCCTCAATAAGTGTTTTTCTACAATGCAGTAGGAAACATTGATTTATTCCTGTAAAAGAAACCTGAGTGGACACATGACTTTTAAAAGTCAGCTTCTCGTCTATCCAAATTCCCAGATGTTTGCCCTCAGAGTCTCATTTAATATTTGCACCATTCAGAGTGAAGAAGACTAAATTGTCATAAACAATGTCTTTGGTGTACATCATGTATTGGGGTTTATCTGCATTAAGGACTGATTTATGTCCATTGAGTGCAACTTCTAGCTTTGTAAAATAATAATAACAATAATAATGATAATAATAACAATAACAACAGGTGGTCTAGAAATGATTTCCAAAGCTATGATCTGTGATGAGATTAAGGTGCTTCTATGAGCAGTACTTTTACTTTGAAGGCCGCGACAGAAGGTGAAATGGCAACAGCTGCCAGCTTGTCAGTGAATCAATAACAAGCAGGGCTGGAAACTTGCAAACGCTGCCGTTATCACTGAGGGTGTGTTGCAGGTGACAGTGAAAACATATTTCCACATTAAAATAAACAAAAAGACAACCCTGCCACTGCAATGAACACGTGTTACTATGTACGGCTCTTTGTATGGTTGCGTGTGAGAGACGGCTTTCACCCACCTCTTGCTCGGTGTCCCCCTGCTCCGATACTCCAATTTCACTGGGCAGTTCGGCCAGATCTGTGACCCGAATGAGTCCGTCGTGGAGAAAAATGGTCTCCTCCTTCACCGAAAGCCACTGGGACGAATCCACAGCCCCGGAGCCCATCGCTCTCTCCCCCGACTGCGATGCCAAAGGGGTCGAACATTAAAAATTCAGTGGCAGAATGACAGAAACGCCCTAGCTAGCCTGCTAGCGAGCTACAATAACATAACCGCCGCCAGTGTCGCGGTCTTATCTGACGACGGTGTTTGTCAGGGCGGACTGCGGGGCTAGGTTGCAGGCTAACAGACGGCAGCCAGGCAGCGAACAAGCCGTGTTTCCTCTTCACATTACATGGGGGCTCCTGTCATGCTAACAGCGGCTGCTAGCTGTCTGGCTCGGTTAGCTGGAGCGGAGCTAACTTACCGTACGGTGTCGTTATAACGTTACCGAGTAGAGTGGGCGTGACACCCGTACTAAACCCGTTATTGCGTCGCACCGTTGAAACGACAGTCTTTTCAGGACGAAATGTGCATCTGTTGTAATCTCATTTCACGGCTCAAATGTGAAAGCAGACAGCTCCGCTAACGGCCCAGCCGCTGTGTCAGTGCCTGGAGAAGATAATGAGAGTCACCAAGCTGTCAGTGCGACGCCATGTTTCCAAGGCCAACTAGCTGCTCCCAGCATGCACCGCGGGCCAGAATAAAAGCTGTCAAAAATTCATGAGTTGGTTTTGGTGTCGAAGACCACAAGTTAATACTGCAATGATAACAAAATGGTACAGTTATCATGTAATCCAGAGAATAAAGTCTTCTGCTTTATAGGGTTAAAAGAAAGTTTAAAGTATGCATCTTTTGCATCTGGGCTGACTTTACTGCACATCAGATCACAATGGAATTAGATTTTGTGCTCCACAGACATCCTAGGCATTACTCATGTCTCATGTAATGCATCTTATGGATTCTTATAATATTAAATCAAATAAATGCTTGAAGACCCACTTCCTTCCAAAGTCACATTTGTCTATCCATATGAGTGAAATAAGCATGACTGAGCATTTCCACCTGGAAACTGCAGTGTAACAATGGCAATCTGAAAAACTCTGATTCAGACAAACAGGGTTTCACATGCAACAAACCTAAAGAATCAATTCTGTCTTCTTGTGGTTTTTCAGATCATTACAAAGCATTTTTAGCATATTTAGCACACAGGGAGGTATTTCAATGGGCTTTAAAAGAAGAAGAAAAAAAAAAGAAAGAAAAAAAACAAAAGATAAGATACAGAATACATGAGGAATAAGTTGAGATAGTTAAATATATTAAAAACCGTAAAAACAAGTCAAATAAAGTGCAACCAAATTGTATAGAATAGTTAAACCTATTTCTCTGAGCTATGTATACTGTATGTATGTCTAAATATATACATAAATGTATATACATCTGAAACTCACCATCAGTTAGAGTTGAAGATCCCTCTTGGATAAAAGGGGAAACATCTTCAATAACCTAAAATAAAAGTCAAGTTGCTTTCTACTGAAGCTCTTGGATTACCATGAGCTGGATGACTGAGAACCTACACAGTCGTCTGATTGACTAAAATAGAGGAAGAAGACATTTGAAAAGAAGAAGATGAGAAAAATTTAAACACAAACTTCAAAAAACAAAACAAACAAACAAACAAACAAAAACAGATTATTTAAATCAGTGGGGGAAAAAGAAATGTCTTCCCCTGACTTTTTAAAATTGCTAAACTTCCAGGGGGAGCAATCACAACTAAGCACCATCTCAGCTTGCCTGAACAGAACTCTGGGCTCCACTAACTGACCAGTCCCTGCAGATCTGAGAGACCGTCCAGACTTGAGCAGACATGTCTCTGATATATTCTGGGCTCAGACCATTCAGAGACTTGTAGATAATAAGTAGGGCCTCAGTTCTATATTTAACTGGAAGCCAGTGCAGGGAAGAATTGGTGTGATGTGTTCTCTTTTCTTGATGTTTGTCAGTGTTGCAGCAAAATGAGTTGCAAATGTCTGCTTGTCTCATTTGGGAGGCCAATGAGGAGTGCATTACAGTAGTCCACTCTACAGGTAATGAAAACATGAATGAAGGTTTTAAATGTGTATGGATAAAGTAGTTTTACTGTGTTTAAATCTTTGGTGAGCTGGTGTGCCTGAGCTGCAGTGAGTGACAGAGGTGTGAGTTAAGACAGAAGCAGGGACTTCATATATTTGCAACACTGTAGAGCTTTATCTAAGTCAGTTTAAGGCAGGAAAGGACTATTTTGATGAAGAAAAACTTCTAAATATGTATTTTTGATACTCAGATATGAGTGTTTCGAAGTTAAGTAAATGCCTTTTTGGTAATTTTGCTCATAAGGAGGATGGTGGCCCCTCTCATCCCCCGTTAAATCATTGACCGATTATAATTATATATATATAAAAAATAGAGCAAGTGCCAAACTAAGAATATAATGTAACTTGTTAAACTGAAAATTGACCATGGTGGGTTATTTTGCCTGTTAAAACCACAACTGTTGTCTAGCTGAACAGAGACTGATCTAAAAATTTGTTTAAAACATCTGACGTTGCTAATTCCCTTCTCTCAGATCTTGCAAATAACAATACATGTCCTAAAAACACTGATGCTGCGACACACTGTGAGACTGTGAAGTTTATGAAAATAAATGGGCAGATGGGGTTCATGCTGAATCAGCTGAAGTACTCAGAAAAAGCCTTTTTGGATCAGGGTTGTTTATAAGATTTACTTTAGTAAATTAAAAAATGAGAGGCAGGATTAGATCGCACTACACTTTGACGTAACAAGCTAATGCGCATTTACAAAAATGAATAATTACTCCTGTATTTGTAAGGGGAAAAAAACAAGAATTTGTTGTTGAACTTTTTTTCATGGGGGATTATGATTACTGGCAGGTTGTGGGCTGTTTGGGAAGCACGTTGCAGCAGCTCTGGTTATTTTTCATCACTGAATCAATATGTGGTGTAGATAATAGAGGCTGCTCTGTGATCATTTCTGAAAATGCCCGACAAGATTATAAATCAATTTCTAAATTCACACAGAAAGAAACACAAAATAAATGATTTTATTACACATTCAATGAACAGTCTGATGGTTTGTCGTTTTGTATTCCAGTTCTTTATAACCTACAGTTATGATTCATATAGGACCATATTTACAAATGTATTACAGTATTCAAGGGTTTTGGTCCATGAGCAAACTGCCATTTTACAACATCAGAGAGAAACAGGAAAAGCTGCATGAAATGTAAAGCTTATAAAATTCATTGTTGCTGCACATAGCAGCTTAGTCTACAATCATCTGAGCTGTGCCATAATATCAGCTCGCCTTTCTAGCCTCAGGCATCGCTTATAAAGGCGAACAGGAATCCCTCTTTTTCTGTCGTAGCCTGAAATTCGCACCCCGGCAGTGTCTTTTTCCTCTATCTTCTTAAGTGCTTGATGTAGGTCAGAGGCTTTAGTGAAGCCTCTTGAGCAGCTAGAAAAGAGACATAAAAATATCAGTAAGGAAAGTCAACCTAATAATCTGTTACACAGGCAAACTAAGGTAACACATCAGACAAGGGACTGGCACTGCTGCAACCAAAAACTGTCAGAGATTAACATGAATAAGCACATGAGAGCTTAAAACCTTTTTTTACGGTGGCACTTTTTCTCCTTTGGCAGCGTAAAGCACTGCTGAGAGATGAAATCCACCAGGAGAGAGGGGAGAATGCTGGGCTGCTTGAGGCCTTCAATCTGAACAGCCAAGCTGTAAAATTGACAACAACGAAAAAAAGACAACTGGTAAAGTTAAATCCTGTATGTAAGGTTACAACTTCACACGCAGGAACAGAGTCAGACATGAGACAAGGAAAGTCCTAGAGCTACAACAAGATAATGTGATTTACACTGTATCTATCTGTATGTGACCAGAGAGAGACAGAGACAAAGAAAGTGAAAGCTGCCTGTGGGGGGAGGCCTTTCTCTTTGTTTAAGCACACTGTAAATAGGAATGAGGAATAATGGTCCGACCATACACTGCTGTAGGCTCAGAGCGAGCGTTACACAGAGTGGTGGGAGGCACAATCCATAGTCGAATGTAAACATCACTAAAATTAAACACAGGCTCTGACTGTAGCATTAATGATGTCTCTGTTCCATTAAGTTTTCCACTGAGTCAGTTGCACAGCGTGCCTCTCCAAGCAAGATATTTTGACATGTTAGAGCAGGAAAAGCACAGTTAACACATGTGTGCAAAGCGTACCCAGATTTTTTTTTATTTCAAAATAGCAATACCAGAATTAAAAAAAAAACTAAAAGTCCTACTTTCCAAATCTCACTTTTGTAAAAGTAGGATAATAGTATCAGCAAATTGTACTGAATGTATAAAAGCATTCAATACACACTAAAATGGGGTCTGTCAATATTCTGTTTTATTGGAATATTATTATTATTATTGATGTATTAACATACAAACAGTATTTAAATATTGTAACAGACAAATGTAAAGCTGATTTTACTCATTTTACATACTGTCAGGTGACTCAGTTTACTGTGTAACAAGTCATTGTGTCATTCATTATATAATAATAGGGTTTTAAAGTCCTATTCTGCTGTAAACTAACTGCAGCTGTCAGATAAATGAAGTGGAGTAAAAACTACATTTCTCTCTAAAATATTGAGGCGTTAAAGCAGAAAGTAGCATGATATATGCAAATAAAGCTCAAATACTTTAGAACTGTACTTCATACAGTATGTATATAATGACTTTACACCACTGGATAATACATCTGTCACACACACTGACCTACTGTATAGAACTAAATTACTGGTAATGTTAGTTGACCATGTGTGGCCCGAAAATGGGAAACCTAAATGGAATGCAGCCATAATTTACTGTATTAGTTCCGCCTGCAGCTGTTTTCCGGCTCAGATCTGTCAAAATTGAAATTATTGAAGAAAATAAATCACCTTTTTTATGCAAGCAGCCGGAACTTGGAAGTAGATCAGAAATACAAAATGCACACATAGTCATGTATAATCATAATGGATCATTGGTGTGACATCTTTTAGCTAGTCTCAGTCTGTCTAAGGCTTGTATTTCCTTCCTTGCTGTTTCAAGGTGTGAGATTAATTATTGATATAGTGAGCAAAACATACAAGAAAATGCAAAATAGTTCCAAGTTGTTAAGCTGAAATGTTTTAAACGCTCTGATGCTGTCAACATGTTTAGTAGTAGCTTATCTGTGCCTGTTGTACAGTGGCAAACAGGGGTCAGGATTACTAGGTCACAAGGGTAATTCGACTGAGTAGACCCCAGTAGCCCCTTAAATCTTGAAAATGGGCCCAGGAAAAAGAGATTTTCCAGGCTTTTCTCAGTGCAGTTATCCAGCTATGACCTTCTTCAGAAACAGGCCAATTTGATACATCTGAATGATTTTAAAGTCAGGATTTCTTTTTCCATCACTGAGCCTCTTGCATAGTTACATATGTGGATATACAATAAGGGGGAAAACATGACATGAATACTAAAGCTCTGTCATGTTACCGGCTGGTGCAGTCACAGTGGTAGGCCGTCTTTGATTCCATGTTCTGCAGATCGTATTTCTTCTCCAGAGGAGGGATTTTGAATTTACACTCATCCAAATGTTTGAGGCTTCCACAAAGGAGCTGAGTGTCTGCAGGAACAAAAATAAACACAGGTAGTCTCAGAAAACATCTCAGGGAACCCACTTTTTAAAAATAACAAATAATAAAAAAAAAAAAAACACCAATCAGTTGTATTCTGATGCTGTTATGTTCAACATTTTTATTGTATTATATCATCAGCTCTGAAGATTTTCCTCCTGTCCCACCTGTAGGGGGCACAGCCACCCCGTTAGCAAGTGTTCTGTAAAAAGAATAATGCCCTGGGCCACCTCTTTAAAGGCAGAATATCCCAGGAATTTTTGTGGGTTCTTTCAAGCTGCTGCCAAGCTTCCAGCTTTCCGGACTGGAAAGTATTTATTTACACTATAATGAAGAGTTTCAGAGTTTTTTTTTTTTTTTTATTCCTGCTGTCGCTCAGTTTAAAATTTACTTGATTGCATACAATAACACAACATATAAAACATTTGTAATTAATTTAGAAAATGTTTCCTATTTATCAGCATGTGCAAAACTCATTCAGTGATCATATTTGATGAATTCAAATATTATTAACTCAGCATTTTACAAGCCGAGGTGATAGATGATTTACTGATTCTATTAGCACTGAATGCTAAATTGATGGTCGATTTCATTAAATTATAGTAGAGAGAAGAAATTACTCATCACTCGTATCATCATAATTACTCTCAGTGTCTCTGGTGTTGAGAGCAGAGACCTTGTATGCTTCAAAAAGCTGCAGCAGAAGGAACAGAGTCAGCAGCTGCATGAACTCACCTGTCATGTTATTATTCTGTCTTAGGCTTCTCTCTGCAGGGGTGCTTCGGGCCACGGCAACATCCACAGGCTCCGGGGTTGTATTATTCTGTAGCACATAGGAGTCCACCTGTCTTTTTGGCTTTCCATCTTTATGAAAAGAAGCTATTGTCTTTAGTTTTGTGGTTGTGGGCGTCGTAAAAGTAGCTGCATTCCAGAGAGTTACCAAAGTGTCCGGTTTGGGTGTTGCTCTTGTCTTTTTGGGGGTCTCATGTGTCATCCCTTTAAATGGTAATCCATTTGTAGCTGCTTTAGTCGGGGTAACCGTTGTCATGTGAGATGTTGTTGCTTGTTTCAGACAGTTTTTACAACGTGGGTGAAAAGTGTCACCCCTCACAGGCATCTCGGATTCACAACAGCGTCTTCGCTTTGGAAACTTTTTGTGATTTTTGGTGATCGCTGTTGTGATGGCGGCTGCTGGGAGATGCTGACGCTTTGGTCTCTGTGTTAAAGGCAGGGCACTTGTAGATGTTATCAGCTGAGATGTTGTGGTGACATGTGGTGAAATGTAATCTAACAGACCCTTTTTGATGCTCTTATTTTTTCCAGCTCTTTTCTTATTTGAAGCATTTAAAAGACCCGTTTTAATTGACAAAGTCGTGGTGTTTGCCCCTGGTAGTGGGTGCACTCGGGAGGGAGCAACTCCGTGCAGTTTCCGGTGTCTTTTACATCCTCTTCCCTTTGTCCTTTTGCGGTAGAAAGTGTCTCCTCGGGGCGGCTCTCTGAAGCCACATCTCCGTTCAGCTTTGGGTGACTTTCTGTGAGGGGTGATCATGGGGCTTTCAGTTGATTGCTGCCCCTCGATACTTGTTAACTTGTTGCTGTCTGTGTGTTTGTGTGCAACATTAGAGGTGTTGTAAGGGAGGGGGCTTTGGAAGATTGCATATGGAGCCACTTTGGCTGCTTTGCACCTATAGAGAGGAGTAAACATGCATGTTAAAACCAAGAAATAAAGGAAAAAAATCTTTTTCAAAAGTGGTATTTGCAACTTATATGCATGATATATTTGTTATATATTTGTTTGATTGATAGGAGGTGAACATTGTGTTGCTGTTTGGGATATGATCTGCACTTTCAAGTAGTAACTCCTGTTTTCCTTGGAAGACAACAATAGTACCACAGAGATGATTCAGGAAACACTCATGCTAGTTTTTAATTATAGTAATTATCGCACAGTTTCTTAGTATAGTACTATTACTGCTAGAAAATGTTTAACCATCAATCATCTCTTGTTTGTAAAACCACTTGGTAGTGTCTACATGGATAAAGCTGTGGTGAAAAAGCGGAGGTGTGGCCTTCGAGGTTTCGTGAGGTTTGGCAGAATGTCAGGCATGTTAATACAAGCTACAGAAGTACATCTGCTACCTTGGCTTCCAATGTAACTATACCAGCACCTTCCACTGAAAAAAGAAAAAATGCAGTTTTATGGTTTATACCAACTACTCTGCAGTGAAGAATATGCAGTGCAAACATCAGGCGACAGTGTCAGTGTGTCTCTTACATTCCCCACCAGTACATCTCAGTGCAGCGCTTCTGCTGTTTGAGCTCAAAGCAGGGAACCTGCAGGATGTTGAAGAAGCTGTAGCCCACCATGCTGGAAATGCTGTCATTCACACTCATGAGGCACTGTCGAAATCTGGTAAGAGGCAGAAAAAGAAGAGCAAGCCAAGGTCAAGAAACGGGCAAGTCAATAAACACATCACAGATGGCGGGTAAATATCCTTGAATGCTGCCTCATTTTGTCTACAACTTGAGTTAGCCCAAACAGTTTAACGCCGCGGGTTACCTCTGTGCCAGGAGATGAATTAAAATGTGTGCCAGTGTGCGTTCCTTATGGATTAGTTCAAGGGCAAACATATTGCACCTGTCAGCACAAGATGTGAAGTGCGACTGACATCTCTACGGATTTAAATAATAAATTGTGTTGGAGGAATGGAATGCCGAGCAAACACAGAAACTGCAGGCAACTTGTTCACTCTTGATAACAAAAGTTTAACCAGAGGATGAATTGCAGTGATTTATTTATTACTCTTGGATCAAGAGTAATGTCGCATGGCCCCAGGTTCTCCTAAAATCACTTCACAATTATCAGCACAGGGGCAAAATGACACAATACTAGCATTCCAGAGAGGAGCAAAGTTTTAGAAGTGATAGAAGGTATAAACACTTCTAAATTCAACCTTCAAGCGAGTCTGTCCTTACTTGACTGTCGGAGTCAGCCAGAGCAGTATGAGGAGAGGTCAGGGGGAGTGGGTGAATTAGTTGTTGCAGGAGTTTCCCTGGAGGCAATGAATACTTGGAATCCTGGCTCCGTATTAAATGCCCGACGGGTGTATTCTGAGGCTCACCTTTGGTCACACTCACAGTGTGAGACGGTGTATAAGTTGGGGTTGAAGACTCCGTAATTCACTGTGAAAGCTGGGATGATATGCAGGCAGTGGTCGTGCTCACGGCAGCATCTATCGGCGCTCTCGAACATCCCTGTGCACAAGAGCAAATTTAAATTTAATCACTTATCAAAGAGAGTTTTACATGGAAGCAAGTTTTCTTCACCTGATTTGAACTCAGAAAAGCTGCTGACTTCAAAGGCAGTTATAAGAAGTTAAAAATGGATGGACTGTAAAACCAAGATCTTAAATCTTTTTGATGCGACTGTCATATAAAAATGTCAAGAGGCCTTTCAAAGGGAATTTCTTGGGATGTATGTTAAATGTCAGTCTCATTTCTATTGAGTTTTGTTCAAGAACAAGTCAGCTACACTTAAATAAACTAATGTACCAAAAATGTAACAATTTAAATCATTGTTGATTTTCTTTAGAAACTGTAGCATGATGACAACTACTTTTTTACTGTATATATTATATCTCTGTCAGTATATTACTCACAATTTCTGTGCTAATGGATCCCTGTTTGAGGTGCTTTTTCTTGGAAATGGCCAGAATATTTATCCAACATGCTTCAATATACACAGCACAGGTGTCAAAGGTCAAGGTTACTCTGTGGTTTATGTGCAACAAACACACTTCTGCAGCAAACTAGAGCTGTTGAATGAAGGTGATGGTGATTTTAGTGAGTAAAAAGCAGGAAAGGGCCCCTGACATGTCCTCAGGTCTGTATTTTATATTCTGTCAGAGCACCCAGAGTTCCTATACCTGCAGGCTACACAAACCATAGGGAAGTAACACTTGATAATTTCTTCTCTGCCACCTCTGATCACTAATGTCCTCCTAAACCCCGAAGAGCCCACACATGGAGGGAGGAAAGCACAGAAAATGCTAAAATCAGAATTCAACATCCTCACCTAATTGCTCGAATTTACCCGCTTTGCTTCCACTGCCACACCACAACGTGCCAGGCAGTATCCATGCGCGTTTCCTCCGAGTTTTCCTCTCAGTCCCATCGCTTCTTGTGCGCTTGGTAAACTTTTGCGCACTGGAGGAGACGAACGCGCAGGGTGCATTCGGAGCCAACAGCACACTCATATTAAACGTCTGGCTGATTTCTTCAGTCCGGCTGGCGTTTCTATCACAAAGAGTGCGATATCTTTCCGTGACGAAAGGATTGGAGTTTACTTCGCATGTTAAGAGTCGCAGATCTTCGGACCACAGGCTGAGGTACAAGTAGCGCGCACCGGCTGCGTCCTGGCGCAGGAACGTGACGCGCGTTTTTCCGTCTGCAAGACTCGATGTTAGACAGGAGAGTTCTGGTCCGATCACATTTTGTGTTTTTGATAAAACTAGCGATGACAAGACGAAAGCGACCCGCAGCACACATCTGCTTTTCATCTCAGTGTGAGGGATCAGTCCTGTTGGAGACCAGAGTCACGCAAACGCCTCAATCGGCGAATTCTTCCACATTAGTTGTGGTATCAGTGCGGTTCTCTGAGTGAGGCATGCATGCTTGTCAGGGCAACCGGCTGGAGTTGACAAGGTCTTCTTATTGGTCTGCTGATGTGGGGAAATTTGACACTCAGAAGGGAGCGTGTTGTGTGTTCTTAGGGTGGCACGTTTTACTCAAGTGAAATACTTCAATCTCCGATAAGATTAAGGAGCTGCAGACGTATCCTGAACAAATATGCGCCAAAATTAGTGGCAAAATTCTAATATATATATATACAAAATTGGGCTATTGGATTACTTTTGGCATTAAAACACACATAGATTGCAGTGGCTAGAAGTCTTTAAAGATTTAATGTAAGTTTCTTTAAAATAACATTTCCAAGCATTCATGAAGTCGCACTCCACTTTCTACACACTGTAATCAATAGTTGTAAAATACAGTTAAATTCAGCAGTGTGCTGTTTGTCAAGAAATATGATTAAGACTGTAAAATCTGATGATTTTTTTGGAGGCAAAAACAAGAATGACCAATAACAGCAGACTACTTTTAGAACATAGGAGCACTGTTCAGGCAAGCAACTTGATTAAAACATCTACGAACATAATGACTGACTTTATACTGTTTCCCTAAGATAGACCACTTTTAGTTTTTGTTTTATTTCATGTTCTTTCTTTTTTTTTCATTCATTCTTTCTTTCTTTCTTGCATTCTATTATATAATTTTTCCTTGGTTACTAAAGTTAATAAATGACAATCCATAAAAATGTGACTTCCTTCCTTCTTCATCCTTTATTGTTTTAGTGCTATATGCATTTTTAAATGTTAAACAGACTCTGTAGATGTCAGTTCTGAATTTTAAATATCAAGACACATTGGTATTTATGCTAGATGTCGGCAATTGACAGTAGTGTTTATACGTTTTGAAGGAAGACAATTATGTAATTTGCAAGCAACCTCAGTTACAGTTGATGTTGATTACTGTGGAACCCATATATAAATACAACAGCATTTATTACTGGACAGTTTATTTACAGTATTAAACATTAAACCTTATATTTACTGTAGAGTACTGTAATTAGTTATAGAGTGCTTCATCGTTTAAATAAATAAACTGCAAAAATACATTAAAACAGGCTACTGGCAACCACAGCTGCCAGTACTTTACTGTAATTTTACACAAAAAACGTTACCATGTATCCCACATTACATTTTCTATTCTTATTTATTTATTCACTATTATCTTTCCCTTACTCTGTGTCAGTGTAGTGGAAGGACTACTCATATCATGTACTTACCACAGTGTCCAAATGCTCTGTTACCTGTAACACAGTCCTGCATTCAAATTTTTAAGCTACTTAAGTCAATGTTCAAACTTCTAGCACCAGAATACACTTTAAGCATCAAGTGTAAAAGTGCTATTTATGCAGAATGGTCCATTTCAGAATATTATATTATTGAAATATAATTACTGATACACCAGCAGTTGGTCATTTTTCATTAGATTTTATTGATCTGTGTAAAGGCTCTGCAAAATCTTTACATGCAAAGGTATTTGCAAACATACATATTTCCATTGCATGCACTATCTATTTACAAATACAGAGATTAAAGAAGAAACATTCCACTGAACTGGCAGAATCAAGTAGAAGACAGCTATGGTTTAGCTCAGAGAGAAGCCTGTATTTTTTTTTTTAACAACAATTGATAATCATCATGTGATGATCACTGTATAGCTGAAGTAGCACAACGCAGGACTGGTGGGTGTCTGAATCATTGCCACATGTGGGCAGAGAGGCTTTACAGAGAAAACAAGACACTGGAAAGATCTGAATGTGTATGTACAGGACATCTCATTCAAAGATTGAGATTAATCTCAAAGTCTGCTACTGATAAAGTTGGACAAAATTGATGTGCTCAGGGATTATTAGTCTATCCTGTGGTTGCTAACAAACCAGTTTATTCAGATTACACCATAGTCATCATAGTCATGCAGAATATGACCTCTTGTATATAAAGTATTAACAGGAATGTTATGGGGAAGAAGTGTAAACATTAATGGAATTACAATAGCATTAATTTCTTACAAAGTATATATATCTTGAACCACAAGACATTTCATGCATAGGATTTTTTGTTTTCGTCTTTGACGTTGGAATAACTTGCAGACAGCTGTATAAATTGAGGTCATTCCACTTTGTAAGGTGTGCTTTCCTTGGTTTGCTGTGATTAGTGAACAAACGCACGCTAAAGCCTTTTGATGACTGGGGTGTGACAGAAGGAAAAGAGCCCTGCTTTTGTGCAAAGGAGTGCTGTGGGGTAAAAGCGGGCCATGATTGCCCCAGGCACACGAGGGTCACGAGCACAGTGCATGCAGATAAAGCTGCACATACTTATGACATAACCACTTCCACCTTCTCTCCTTGTTAAACGGAGCAGCAAATTTTGTAAGGGAAACCTGTAGGAGACCTGACCGTGTGCATTCAGTGTAAACACTACAGTAGAAAACCTCTGAGGCGTCAGAGCGACCGGCGAGCTTCAGAGGAGTAGAGGTAGCAGGACGAGATTCTGTTTTGTTCTGTTTTTTCCTGCCAAATCTCACTGCATCTAAGAAATTAACTAAAAAATAAATATCATGGTTAAAGTTTTAGTTTCTCAAAACACATAGTTAATACTTCCCACGAACTTAAATTTCACAGTTTGGATAACTATACATAAAAACTCCTGCTAAACTAGGTGTGCTCTAATTTTAAATCACAAAATTAACAGCAACTGATTAAAGTTTCATCTAGCTCATGGTCCACTGACTTATGAATCATCTGCAGGATCAGATGTCTATCCTAACCTGAGCAATGTATCAATATGTAAACATTTTCTCCATGGAAATTTACAGCATGTTTAGGACAGTCGAAGTGTGTGAAGGTGCAGCTGCGTGTTTTCTTTCATGTGTGGCTTGCCATGCTGATACAGTTCAAGTGTTACACTACAGCGTGATGTAATCACACGAGTAAGTAAAAGTAACACCCTGATGGTCAAATGAATCTCAGGCATGAGCTCAGTCAAGGCTTTCATGAGCTTGAATGACGGATTTGACCTCAGATGCCATAACATATTGCTTTACTTGCTCTGTGCCAGTGCAATCAAACTTCATTTTCTTTAGCGTAGAATGTGTCAAGTTCAGCACACTATATAACATCACTGACAGGCATGACGGCCTTTGTGCAGCTGTTTGTTGACGGACGTCTTGGTTACATTAAATGAAATTTCTAATTCATATACGCTGCGATTTGTGCCGGAGGCAGATTAAGTATCAGCACAGGCAGAGAAACTGTTAGTAAGAAAACAGGAGAGAAGAATATACCAAGGACACATGTGTGAAGTCTAAATAAAAACAAGAAAATGGGGAGAGAAAGTGCATCAGGAGATGAATGCAAACAGATCGGGGGTGGATAGGTTGTAGCTCATGCTGTATACATGGGGTGGGCAAGGGGTTAATCACTAGCAACATGATTCTCATTCAGCAAGGTGTGCCAACGCTCAATCTTCTTGTCCTTGTTCTTCAAACACTCATACCAATGTTTCAGCCTCTCTCCTTTGGCGGTGATTCCCAGTTGACACCCACCTGTCAAGGAAGGAAGGGGCATGTGAGCGGCAGGTAGTGAGTAGGTAAGAATTTCGCTTTTATTATCGCATCCAAGCAGCGATAAAGATCAAACACTTACCTATGTAGTCATTGGACTTTCCAATATCATAATCCCACACGGATATATCTAACATCTTCTTGGCCAGTTCACTGTGTTTGATGTCGTAGCTGAATTCCTGAAATTTAATTAAGATATAAGTTTCAAAGCCTTTTTCATCGTTGAGTTGAGTGAGGTGGTTTGACAGCAACTAGGGGACATCATGTGCAGTCCTTCACTTTAAACTCTTTAACAAACCTCATTAAACTCTGGGTTTAAAGTCCTCTTCTTGATTTGTGTTTTGCACTTGCCCTTCTTCCCCATGTCAGGTTTCAGGCATCTGTAAATTGTACACGCACAGATTTAAATCATTTCTAGAGTCATCCATTCATAGTCTAGTACACTTTTACAATCTGCTCTACCTACATTTTGACATATGGGTCAGAGTAGCCATTGGCATCCATGGCAGCCAGGTGGACACAGCGCACAACGCCTACGATGAGCCGGTTCAGCTGGGTGCTGTACATGAGGGAGATCAGAATCCGACCGCGCTCTTCTACCTCTGAGCCTTCTTTCCCTGGCTGAGACAGAGCAGAGGAAAGGAGGGGAGGGGGGGAAAGAAAAATCATGATAAGAGTTGCCTGAAATTCTGGAAAAAAAAAATCTGTCACGTTTAGACATGCTGGGAAACTAAGGCACTGCCTCATCTTCGTAGAGAGCGATCCCTCTGGCTCCTCCGGCTGTTGCAGTTCTCTTCGTCTGTGAGGGGGAAGACGAGATTACAGCGGGTCAGTGAGACATTCAGGCGAGGAGAACAAAGAGTTGCTCGACTGTCAGCGAACTGCACTCACAGGCACAACTCTCTCTAGACACACGTTGAAGTTTTTCTTCTGGTTCATCTTCAGTTTCTTCAGCGCCACTCGGGTTTCCCCAATAAACTCATTATGCCCAAACTTGTCTTCGTCGCAGACAGAGAGCCTGCGGAAATCAACAGAGAATCTTAATTATACGGACATGTTGTACCTCTAAGTAGGTCAAATAAGAGTGGATTAAATTGAACACATGAGACTGTTCCTGCTTAGTGAGTGGGGTTTCTGAGGCACATTATCCACCTGAGGGTCTTACGCTGCATGTCCTCCTCCGTCAGGCCGTGGTAGGTGAGCATCTCGTTCCACATGGGGTTGCGGGTGTTTCTCAGTGTCTTTGTGCGCAACTTGTTAGACTGTTGGATGCAGCATAGATCAGAACAAAGATATATCACTTTCTAGATAGGAGTCGATTTTATGATTTGTCAATTCAAGCCACAAGATGTCAGGCTTGAGCTGGAAGAAAGGTTCCTCATCAAACCAAGAGGCTCTAAAATCACCACCCTTCCATTTTTTTTTTTTTTTTTTTGCATAGCAGGATATTAAGGTAATGAATCTTTTACAAGAAGTAAAAGCTAAATGAAGGAAAGGCCTGTCTTATACCTTGCTAGCCCCTGGTAGCAGATGGAGCTTGACATAGGGATCTGCCAGACCATTTGAGTCCATGGGCTTCAGTCCCTGAGGAGACACAAAGCACCGTGTTCATCACATCGCAAACAGCAGAGAGCAATTAAGCTAAAGTGCCATTCAGGAGCTTTTTAACATAAACCACTTGATTGTAATTGTCCCTTTGTGTGGGAGAATGAGGAGAATAGTGGTACCTTTGCTTTGAGGATGCTACAGTGGAGGCTGTTGCTTTCCTGTTCGTAGTGAAGACTGAACTCTAGAGAGCCCAGAGTGGCTGAAAGAGACCCAGACCAGTTATTACGTTGGGCTGTAGGGAGACAGCAAGTCTGCTCTTGAATAATTAAGAATATAAATATAGGGAAGGAGTCACTTGTAATTAAACAACACTCATCTTGTGAAGTAAAGCGAAAACGAGAACGAGCCCAGAGCGGACTGAAAGGATGGACAAATGTCTCGACTTTCACTCATGAAACATTCACAGGCTTCTATTTACCTTAAGTAAGCAGTACGAAAATCTTATTAAAAAGCAGGGGCATATGATATAAAAGAAACCAAATAAACACTCCAGTCTCAAAGGAAGACATTCAGAAAATAAAGTTCTGGGTAGGAAAAAATAAAGACAGAGATGCTGCCCACACAGATTTTCTTTGGAGCAGTTTCATTGCCTTCGCATGGCTGTTGGGGGACAGACTAATTAAATGTCATTTATAAATGTTTCTTGTACAACCATTTAACTTGTACAGGCTCAGATGAAGTGAAATGCTGATCTAATGATGCTGCTAGATGAAAAGACAGCAGATCATCAGTGTTTTTACATTTCTGAGGGATGCCTGGACAATTAGTCATGGCAATCCATCTAATAGTGTTGGGATATTTTAGTCTGAGCCAAAATGCTGGATCATCTGACTGATTCACTCAGCAACTGGGAAATAGGACAACATTGCCACATAACCATGCCACTTACAGCTATAAATAAGGGTTGCATGATCAGACATATGTGTATATTTCATTAGTTACCGGTCATTACAAATCAAAAAAACACACTTAATCACATGTACAAAGGGCTGTTACTTTCCTGACTGACCATATTATTTTTATCAAGCTTAAACAACCAACTCATTTGGATTGTCAATACCGAAGAAACTGCAACCAGCTGGGTTAATGAAACCACACGATCTAACTGTTCTCACCATTACAACTCTACAGAGAACAGGCACATAAAACCATTGCTATTTTTGCCACGTTACTCCAGGGGCTGGATCCAACACAGGGGGAATCTATAACTTGTTAGCCCTGTTGTATCTCAAATTATTTGCACAGCTTCATAGACCCGGACCTCAATAAAATAAATTAAAACTCAATTCCCCGGAGACAGAATAAAGGCCGTTTGGTGCTGCCGGCTAAAAACATGAATGGCATGGTACCATTCTCATCATGAAAATGGGATATGTGAGAAAAAAAACAAAAATTACACAGCTTATGCTTCACTACTGATTTAGTTAGTCACATCCTCCTCTGCTTTAGCTCCCAATTTTCATATTTCGATTACATATGGTGCTTCTCATTCGTCATTTTCTACCCTGCTCAATAGACGCTGCCAGAATTACATTTGCTGTTTGCTGGAACTATTGGGCAATTTATGGATGAATTGCAGATGAATTATTACAAGAAAACTAAAAGGCAAAAATTAAGCATCGACACGGTATGAGTCAGAATCCCTGAGGGGAAGAGAGATGTTGCCAAATTAAAGACATCAACGCCCAATACTGTATGCTGCATGGAAATATGTTTCCATTTATGCCAATACATAAAAAAAATAAGAAGACACGCAATCTGGTAGGGGTTTTTTTAAAAACCTGAAATGAGTGGAAAGAAATCCCAAATGTCAAACTGCACACAAAGTGGAGTCACACTAGACACATCAGTCACCTATGAGAAGGCTGAGCAGATGGTGTACTCACTGGCTTCATCAGAGTCATAGTCGTTGGCCTCCTCCTCCTCCTCGGCTGGGGGAGGTTGCTGCCGGGCAGGAGGGGCACTGTAGGCAGCCGGCTGCCTCCTGTCCTCTCTTACTGCAGGAGGCGCTCTCTGATCCGGAGGGGCTGCAGCAGAAGAGTAAGCTCCTCCATCTCCTGCCACTGGACCTACAACCACAGCCAGTCATGGGAGACACTCCGTGACACCACTGGTAATGCAATATTTAGTCAATGCGTGGGATTCCCTATAGGAGTAAAGAGACTTTGTATCTGAGTTGTTTCTCACCCTGCTGGGCCATGGTGGCTGATGCAGCGGGCTGTGGTCTGGAGCTCTGGACAGGCACCATCTTCTTCATCACCACTGGGCTGCCCTGTCCAGCCTCTTCAGGGCCAGCCCCACCCGTGGCCATGCGCAAAACTGGTTTAGGGGCCACAGGTGGGTAACCAGCACGGCCTTGTGGCTCTGGTCCCAAAAATAAGCATGAGTAGCATAATATGGTAAACACAGAGACGCACACTATGCATAAGGGAGAAATGCATAATCACACTACTTCAGGCTTCTACTGCAGTGGAATGTGTAATACTCCCTAGTCTCTCCGGATACTTTTGATGTTGCAGCTTTTTCGTTGCAAAGGCATTGACCTACATACACTACAACAAGCTGTGGCAGCCGACGACTGTACATGCAGCAGCTACTTAGTTTGCCTGCTAGCACCACCCCTCTCTTTTGTGGGGAAATCACATTGCACAGGTAATCACGCTTAAAGTGTGAAATGATGCGGTGTGACCCATCATGCCAGCACCACCTGGAGGCTCATTCCACGCCACAGCATGCAACTTCCGTCAGCTTAATTGAGCTCTGCATCCCCCTCCTCTGCAACAGTGGGCGGCACTGCCAAATTTGGGAAGCAGATAAAAGGTTTGATGGCTGGGAAAAGAGCAATGAGAGGCGGGGTTGCACGATCGGGCATCCTGATCTGAAGAGATGGTGCTTTGAAAAATTTAAAGTTTAACTGAAAAATGAGGGAGATGCACAAAATTGTGGTTACCAATAAGAAGAAAGTTTAATGCTGTTAATGTAGAGATATCTCACCTCACCTTACACTGGTCTCTAGTGAACATGAAGCATACTGACTGACAACGCTGGTATTTGATCGGTGTTTCATCTGAATGGGCAGCTTCATCACTTAGATTGTAAGTTGGCGATGCAGCTCCATGCATTACTGACATGCTTCATCTGTCTAGTCATCTGCCATCACCACATCTCAACATATGAATGTATAGGAACTGACAATGACTCAGCACTTGCCGAAATAAGAATGAAAAGCCTTTTTTGCTGGCTTTGCAAACTTCAAAGAGTGAATGTTGTAAAGAGACGACTTTAATCATAAATAGACAGCGCTATGAGGACCTGTTCAAAAAGGGATTTTTATTTTTTTTGTAGACTACACAGTATGGTGCTTTTTTTCCAGTCAATAGCGCACCATAGAAATTTGACAGCTTGCCTATTAACATGGGTCTTGAGATGTTAGGCAGCCACGAGAAAATGCCCACCCAGAGGCTTGAAGCTTAGACACAGTTTTCACATCCAAAAATGGTTTTATCCCCTTTTGAAGATATCTTATTTTCAAAAATAGAAAAAAACATTCCCAAAAGCTGTAGTATCTAGTCTGTTTCCAAACACAAAAAGTACGAAAAAGTATCAAATATCAGTTCCACTTTAAAGAACAACACCCTGTACTGTTGAGAAGTGGAAACATCACAGGCAGTTTAGGTAGATCCCTTTACTTTAAAAGGTTTCTTGATACTGAGAACTTGCCTGAATCTTGCTGCTCAGAAGCAGGAGCCTGACTCTGATTCTGACCTAAGTAGAGATGTAATGTAAAGCAACTGTTTGTGAAGGCAAGTCAATAAAAAGGTCAAAAACTGGACCTCCAAAGTTGCCTGATATAAAAAGTCATAATGACGAAAGAAGAGACCAAAGCTGCTACTGAATCTACCTGGTGGCTGTGGTTGGGTTACTGCCTCCCTGGGCTCAGAGACTGCTGGTCTCTTGGCCGCTGCTGCCTCATGGGTACCAGTCTCTTTTTGTTTAGATAAAGGCATGGGCGATGGCAGGAAATGCTTAGGAAAACCTTTAAAGAACCAGGCGCCAGACCTCTTCCATACCTGAAAATACAGAAAACTGCATGCATTATAGGTTTTCCACCAGACTATTCACTTAACCTGTTTTCCTTGATGCAAAGCACTCACCTCTCGCTGTTCTCTGCAGATCTTGCAGAGCCACACTGCACGTGGCCGACTGCTACACTGTGTACCACACTTGGTGCACATGTTCTACACAACGGGAGAAAATAAAGATTTCCAGCTGCTCGCCATTCACAATGTTATCACGAATGCACAGCTCATAAACAATTGTGTTCCTCCAATTTTTCTGTGAATTGCGGCAAAAGCCTGGGTTGTTCGTAATAATTCGTCGGCTCATTATCTACCTTTTTGCAGTCCTCGCACACCACCGAGCTGACCCCGGGTGTGCCCAGCTGCTCCCCGCACAGCAAACAGCGGGACAATCCATCTCCGCACACAGTCTTCTTCATGTCGTCCAGGCGGTTTATCAAGCGACTGCAGCAGCACAGAGCGAAGTCTTACTTAAAAGGTCAGCGTTAATTATCCCAGGTCCAAATTTATGCACTTCATCAGTCTTGGCAGGTGATTTTGTTTTACTTTACACCCATCACAGAAATCAGTGCGTGTTTTACAAACTCTCACCCAATTCTCTCCTGCTCCATGGCCTCCATTTTCTCAGCACGGGCAATCACACTGTTTATAATCTCTTTCTCTTCATCTGTCAGGTCTGGACCAGGACCAGGGCCTGGCTGCATGGTCCAGGTGCCCCTGTCAGCCAAACATATTCTATAGTTAATGGTACATTACGCAATTGTACCACCCAAATCACATGCGCACACACACTTCACATTCAGTGTTTGAACACACAGAGCAAACACAATGTACGAACGGATGAGCGTGCATTTACTGCATTAGCACATTATGCTGCTTCCAGAACAGTTACAGAGTGGAAATGCAGATAAGAGAGGAGTTTATCTACTTACTGCTCTTTATCACTGTGTCACAGACGGCATGTAAGAGAGATGCAGGTGAAACAGAGGAGGAGGGCACAGTTAATGGTCGATGGTGCCATTAGAAAAGATTACCAGGACAAAAATGACAGTCACACTTACCCTGCATGCATGCTCCTCTGCCTGTCGTTGGACACCCAGCGACCCGAGCTGCTGCTCATCACTGTGTCTGTCATGCTGCGCTACTGCAGTCTGCAAGGTGGATAAACAGAAAGACAAGAAGAATGACACGAATTCAGCATGAGGCAGTCAAACAAGCTTTAAAATAAATTCCTACTCTGTATTTAGAGTTCTAGTTATGTGTCTTAAGTCCACACTTAGCTATCCTTTACCCTTAAGCAGCATTTACTTAATTGCTGCCTCGGATTGCTCTCTCATCAAAAAGGACATTTTCTCCAAATGTGCGAGCAGGGACACTGCCAACATTAAACTGGAAAGTCACCAGATACTCTTCCTTTAATTGTCACAGGGTTGAATAAAAAGTAATTCTGGTGACCATCACTAGCCAAACAACTACTAGAATCAACAAAAATCTAGAATTAGTTCTCAAAAATCACTTTTTCCCCCCCCTCCCTCATTTACATTCCTCTTATGAATTTGCATACCAAGCCTAAAAGATATCGCAACTTTCACTGGGAGTGAAAGCACAATTAATAAAGCCAATTTTACAGCCTAATCAGTGCCACCTCCTCTTGCCGAGGCCGTTTCAACAAATTCCCATCCGCCGACATATTCAAGCAATAAATGGACGCAGCGACAGCAGAACTGGAATAAATACAAGCACAAACAGGAGCAGACTTGCTTAGTGTGCATACAGCAAATGGAACAAAGCTTACGACAAAGCAGGTCCTCCTGTGCATTAGTAACCAGAGTGAAATGATGCTGAAGTGGGTGGTCCAGGTCGTTTGAATTTATGGGCGCCTTCAGTGTTCAGGGCCGTGGAGATAAGGCAGTGCAAATTGGGGGTGGGAAGGTCAATTAATTGAGCAGCTGTAAGTAAAACCAAAAGAGCTGCTTCCAGTTTGCGAGTGTTTGAATGAGACAGATGTGCCCATGCAGAAGGAGTGGCTCAGTTATGCTATGACACAGTGGCTTAAGAGTCTGTCTCAAGCATTTCTGATTGGTCACGGATTAAAGTTTCTTCACACTTTTTTAGGAGATGCTGGGGGTGGGGTTGGGTGTTATGGGGTGTGATGAAGGCTACTGTCGCTCCACGTGGTAAAATCGGAGCTGGATTGTTTATAGACCGTGAGGAAGCCACTGTTGCTGAGGAGGACTGTATTTAAAGTACATGACAGCTTTTGTTTGTGTACATAGCGCAAAAAAAAACAACAAAAAAAAAACAACAGGCTGCAAACAGAGCCAAGTGCTAATGACGGCACGTGGGAAGCTGCGAGTTCCTTATCCATGTGATACACCAGCAATGTAATTTAATCTCAGAGTGACATGGTAAAGATGATACAAAGACGATAACACAACTCACTGAGGCAAGTGCCCATGGGAAAGTCTGCTAAGTGAGCGTGTGTGTGTGTGTGTGTGTGTGTGTGTGTGTGTGTGTGTGTGTGTGTGTGTGTGTGTGTGGTGTCCTATGCAACTGCCTTAGGGCTGCTTCAAGTCTCTGGCAGACAATACATGGAGGGATGCTGCAGCCACAGGCCAGTGTACGTCCTTAGGGGAAAGTGCCAGTATTCAGAGCAGACCAGCGTCCCTTGAACAGGAGCAACAAGAGGAACTAAAAGCCTCTCCTGAGCTGCAAGCACCAAGAACTGTGATGACTCAGGATGAGACCAGTATAGATACTGTATTAGTGAGAGTGGTAGCAAGGAATGCCTAATGATAATGACAAAAGCAAAAAAAAATCAATAAGTTTCACTTGTCTTCAGCTTTTCACAGCAGTAAAATCCAGCACTATAGAACCTTGGGGAAAGTGAAAGGGAGGGGTGCACCAATGTCTCCCTCATTCAGCTGCTCGCATTATGCTGCGTAATGTCAGGCTACGTACCTTTTGAGGTGTAATCTGTTGTCTGCCTGCCTGCGGGACTCACAGAAAAAAGGAACAAATTCGCTGTGCTATCAATAGACACTCTGGGTGTGGGCTTTTTTTTTTTTTTCCTCTGATGCTGCCGCCGCATCCAGCCAACGGTGGCAAACACAGTCTTCAGGGAGCATTTGTCTTTTTCCACTTTTTCGGCGGCAGCCTGACAGATCAGACATTGCTCTGACTGTACAGTATGCATTATATACACTGAGGCTCTCAAGCATGTCCCTCCTTCACTTGCCAAAGTGAGTTATGCCACCTTTGTCTAACGTTATTGTCCTGGAAAGGTGGATGGAAGGAGACAGATGGGAGGCGACGTTCAGACTTGGGCAGAGTAATCACTGAGTCAGACAAGCCTGAGCTCTCTGCTGGGGATAGATGTTACTGCATCACTGAAGTGGGCTCTTTGCTGAGGTGACAATCCAGTTAGCATTCAGGAAGGATCGCATACACACTTGTCTCATAAAGAGCTGTCAGTAAAGGTGTTGGAAACTACTGCTTGGTTTCATCTGCTGTAGTCCGAGAGGGTTTACAATGATTCCAATGGTACGTATTGAAAACCGTTCCTAAGGCCAATTATCATGGACTGCTTTGCCCAAAATGCCACAAAGGGCCTCATTATTCTGCAGTCATGACATCACCATTACTCTCCATCCTGTGTGCCATTGAGGTTATAAAAGCACCAAATCTGCGTCATTTGTGACTCTGACAGTCATCATGTACGCGGTTTCCTCCCATAAAAGAGATGACTCAGTCAGGTGGTGGGTTCTTCTCTGGGGAGCAGCACATTTTCTCCCGTGTTTTCATTTATTTCTTTATTTTCCAAAATGTCATGTAGCCTCCACGGTGATGCTCTTATATGCGATGCCAGGGAGCTGTGCAGGCGACCAGCAATGCCCAACAGCGTCTGCAAATACACCAGGCGTAGCTCGTAACAGATCATGTGTGAGATGACAACAGGAAAAGACCAGAGGGAGAGAATCGACTAAGATAGTCATCTGCCTGATCATCATAAGTCATCCACGCAGCAGGATCTCTCTCCATACAGAATCTCATATGGGGGTGGTGAGGACCAATTTAGAAACCTGTGTCTCCTCCTCGGGGCCTGAAGGGAATAGTCAATACAAATCTGCATCTGTACATCTTCAGGAAATGTATGTATACACAACTCCGAGAGCAAACCCTACACATTTTTCTATCAATTTTTCGACACGAAGCCATCAATTCTCCTCGGATACTCGAAGTGAATGCTCAGCACAAAGAGGAAGCTTTAAGTCTCTTCGGGCACTTGCACATACTAATGTTGTTATGTGACTTTCAATAGTAGGTGTATGACTTATTACTGCAGAACATATGACTGGAAAAGAAATTGACAGGAAGAAAAGCACCTTGTTATGGTGATCCTGAGAGATTTCTTTAAAGATTTTGCAACTTGGTGAAGAAAGCAGGCAGAGTGACAAGAAGGCAGCAGGACATTGATGGATTTGATGGATCGATCCAGCATTGATCATTATAGAAGGAACACTAAGTTGTTAAATGGCGGATTGAGGGAAGTGACCTCCATTTGACTGAGATCAGCATAAAACAAAACCAAGGTTCTACTGCAGTGTTTCCATTTTACTATTAAGCAATTTGTGCAAAAGTCAATTAGTACACTCATTTGTACTAATTTATTAAAGAAAACATCCAACCCCAGCCATGCTAAAAAGCAGACAGTTTAATTGATTACGAAAATTAAAGCTAAATGCAGCCATAAAAGCAATTATTACGGTATTCAAGGACAATCCCTAAAGAATAAGGTGTGACTTTGTTGACTCCCTCTGTGCTCAATAACATATTTAAATGGCAACAGTGCTATTTTTTTTTTTTTTTTTAATCACTGTGTTATGTGTCCTACTTGTAGATGTATTGGAAATAATGATACTAAGACACAACTGCACTTCAATTCCAGGGCAACAATTCCCTCGCCATTCTCCAAGAAGGACACGTCTAAAATGGGTTAATGAGAATCGGAGATCAATGCAAAGTCCCACAATTGGTTTCACTTTAATTTATCTTTCAGCAGGCCTCCATTGATACTTTGATGCTTTGCCATAAAACTTACTTAGGTCAACAAGAGCAACCAACAACCCCTTCCACAGCAGCGTCCCTGCGCTGTCAGATCAGCATTTTCTTCCAAACTGTTTTCCAAGGTGCTGATGCTAAGTAGATGCCAGAGTTGATATTCATGTCAACACAGCAGCACACGCACACGACCGGTGATTTAATAATCCTGGCGAAACCATACACAGTTTTTCAGGTTGACGTGACCATCAATGTTTTATTAGCTGTAACGCTCTGTGCTTTTTCCCCATTAAAGACCCAATAACCTTGCAACCCATACTCAATTTTTCACAATGCTGTAGGAAACTAGCTTGCCTCCAACATGTGCTCTAAACAAGCCATTACTAGGCTCATACTGCCTGGTGTGACTTTATATATAATCATGTAGGGGAACGATGGCCAACATGGTTTCACAGAGAAGGTTTCATCTACACTAATTACAGTGAATGATGAACGTTTGGTAAAAAGTTAATGTGACACTGTGTCTTCTTCTATTTCAACTGTATTTTCTTTTCTTTTTTTTAAACGATGACATGCAAAACACAACAAAAACAAAACTGCAAAAAAAAATTAAAGAAGAGTTTAAGAAGAGAAGGAACTAAACATATTTTATTTGAGTTTTTAATTTTTCTTCCGCTGCCATCTGGCCTGGCAGTAACTCAGATTGTTTTATGTATTATGAAACAGAACACAGCCTGAGATCCTCAGACAGGAGAGTCTTGGCCGGGCTACAGTTTCAGCTCAAGTCCTGCGGTGATCTGGAATATCATGCTTTTTGTTTGTTTGTTTTAAATCTCCTCTTCACAATTACTTATCTGAAACCCAAATTGAAATCCCAAATCTAGCAGTATGGGAAGTTTTGCATGGAAGAAAAAGCAGTAAATCACAAGTATACAGATGAGTTAGCCTTCATTCCCAGAGATCATATCAAGTCACACTGCTAAATAAACTTAGAATTCAACATCTTAGTGACAAATATAAGCACACGACTTGACTAATGCAGAATCGAATGATAAATTCGATGACCATAAATTT